AAATAAGGCTCATTTCAGAGTTTTTCAATTCTAAAGAATTAAAGAAAAAGAAATCAATTCTTGCTTAAATTAAATAAAAAGATATTTTCCCTTTGTATGCCAAATCAAAGAAGAACTGAGCTGAATGTAAAGTTGATTGAGTTGATACAGATATTTGAGTGAAGAAAAGGCATGCTGGTGCATTTGAGACATCAGTAATATAAATCAGCTGGATATGAGGTATTATTCAATAAAAAATGGAAATTGCTTCTTATTTCAAAACTTTATGGAATATTTTACTTGCCAAAAAGAGAGAAAGCGTATTCATAATTTGCACATTATCTTCTAATACATGACTAAATCTTCTTCTTTCCTCTAATTGATAAAATATTCACTATTTCAAGGAGTTTCCATGAATTTCAGTTTTGATTAATACATAGATGCGTAAATTTTGATGTTGCATTTTGATCTACATATTTTTATTTGCTTTCTTTTGAACTAGATATATTCCTAACAATTGCTAATCATGAAATAAATAAACATCATAAGTAGAGCACTTAAAATAAGGGGGAAAATATATTAACATTTTTTAGAGTACTATGGATTAAAAAAAAATCTCTCGGCAAAGAACTCAAAATATAAGGGGTACTATCTAGCATATATATTATATACCCTATTATATATGTAATATTTATACACTAGAGGGAGAGAGATTTAAGGAATTGGCTCATGTGATTGTGGCTGCTGCCAAGTCCCCAGTCCCCAGGGCAAGTGGCAGGCTGGAAACTGAAGTAAAAGTTCCTGCTGTAGTCTTGAGTCTGAATGCTGGAAACTCAGGCATTCCGGAAGCAGAATTCCTCCTTCTTAAGGAAACGTCGGCCTGTGCTCTCAAGGCTTTCAGGGGGTTGGATGAGGCCCACCCACATTCCGGGGGTAATCTGCATTACTTAAAGCAGCTTATTGTAAATGTTAGTGCTAATCAAATCAAGAAAATACTTTTACAGCAACAGCTAGACTTGTGTTTGACTAAGCAGCTGTTCTCCATGGTCCAGCCAAGTTGACACGTAAGATTAAGCATCATAACATACTTTTGACTAGTCATTGACTTGATACAAAAGTCTTACACTGACAGTTTTCTTCCATATTAATATCCCACACAACAGTTTATTTTTAAAAAAATCAACTTCTCAGTGATACATTAGTGGCAGAAATAATCATTCTGTTTACAGATAAGGACTCAATACTTTGGGGTTTGAGTGATTTGTCTGAAGTCATTAGCAAGGCTGTGACGCAGCTTGTTAATAAAGAACCCAATCTTTTGTTCCCAATCCAGTGTATCAAGGTTACCCCATTTCTGTGAGATCTTGGTGTGCATGGCCATTCTTTATGCATTTGGAGTGTCCACTTTGGTTACCCACTGAGGCATTAGCGCCAGCCATCCATTGGTGCTTTCACAATAGTCCTCAACTAATGACAGCTTCTTTCCAAGCTAATAAATGTCTCCCTACTTCTAGATCATATAAGGGTAATGCCCCATTCCCAATCCATCAGAACATTGAACTATCATCATTGCTTCTTATCTCTACTCCTGACTCCTTTAACTTAGCATCTTCACAAATCCTACGTTAAAGAAGAGTCAGAGAGCTGGATAGGAGACTGTGGCAATTGTGTGTCTTCCCTTCCCAACTTCTACCTACTTGAATTTAGTTTCTTACTTTAATATTATACTTCCAAGGTTTAGATCCAGACCTCTAATGCTGTCACATCCTGTGTCCCTCAATTTTGAACTTGCCATTCATTCAATATTTCCATTTAGTTTGAATCCTCTATTGACTATTTAATAGCTTAGCGAATTTCTGAGATTCAATTTTCATCTTCTATTAAAATATAGGCAAAAATTCTAACCTCTACAGATCTTTTAACATGTTGTGTGCTATATACATACCTGGCCACAGTTCCTGGCCCCTATTTTCTGTTTGATAAATGCTAACCACCTTACCACATACTTATGCTCTAAATCTGCTTACATGGCTTTAATCTGCCTCTAGTCTCATATTTTCTCTTTTCTGATCAAGTTGAGATCCGTCGTTTTCTGCAGCACTTAGGATCACGATAATTGAGGACAACAGGGGAGAGGTGAAGTATTATTTCGCCCCATTGTAAAAACTTTCAAGCTAATCCTGAGTGATAATGACGGGCTCTGGAAGGATCCCCAGTCCAATTCTGCCACTTGGAGGTGCAGCAGCAGGTTCTGTTGGGAGGTAGAGGGTTGACTTGGAAGAAAAGTGAAATAATAAGGAATCCAAAATTGAACTCTGAAAAATTATTGAGTCAAAGTGGAATCCAACTTCCTCCAGGGCAATTACTTGTACTGTTTAAACTTCACTGGCCAAAATGTAATATCTGGAGATGATTGATGAGTATGTCATGTACTACTCTCAAGGGTAAAACCTGAAATGAAGAATAGTCGTAATTTTTCAGTTTGTCAGGATGCATATTCTGTGGAATGGTGCATTGTTTAGAGTACATGACACTGGCCAGCATGAGATTAGAGTATCAAACGGTGCCGTAGGCCCCTAACTTACTAACAGTTGTCACAACCGTATTGTCCACAAATATCATTCATCAAGAGGTGCGTGAGAGAGTGCTCACTGCCATGCAAAATAGTGCACACGCTGCTGCATGTGAACGTGCATGCAGACCTTGATATTACGAGTATTGGAAAAGCTAAAACCATTACATTCTAATTTTGTAATACTTCAGATAACTTTATTTCTAAATAGAGATCACAGATAGTGATTGTGGTAGTGATGATGATGATGATAAAATCTGTTGCTATCTTAACTGGGTACCGACAGCACTTCATGCCTCCTCCCCTTAGAGCACATAACACGTCTGTAGTTAACTTATTTATGTGCCTGTCTCTTTCACTAAATCGTGAGTGCTTTGATGGCAGACTCTATGCCGTACATCTTATGTTGGTGCCGGGCATCGCCTGGTACTTAGTAGACACTCGCTGTACATTTGATGGACTGAATTTTGTTAAAGGATAGAAGGAAAGAACTCCGTCATAGGATTTTAGCATTACTAGAATCAAGGCACTATAATAAATCTTATGTTTAGTTAAAGCAGTTTAGACACAGGCCCTATCCTCACGCTTCTTACCTGGGCTGATTTAGAGAATTTGAGTGTTTACTGCCATATGACTCTGAGAGTCCCCTTCCTGCGGGTCTGGGTGTTAGATGGCTGTTTCCCATGGACATGGACCTCACGGCTCACCCATGTGTGAGCTTGGGAGAGCTGAGTGTAGCCTAGTCATAAAGCCAGCGTTGGGATCCACATTTCATCAAAACCACGTATCAGCTTGTTTACAGTCTCATGAGAGTTTGGTTTCTAGGCATACTTTTATAGACCAAATGTCCACTGTGCTAAAGAATTTAGTCATCCAATTTGATATTCCAGGCGGGAAAAAAGGAACATCAATAAATTGTGTGCCAGCTCCATACTTTAATTGCATAAGCAAAGAAAAAGTGATGTTAGAAGCTATACTGTATCCTAAAATATATATAAAGTCATGTCCATTAAATGTTAGAAAACAGTGTGATATACTACAGAGAACTCCCAAATCGTCTTAGCCATTTTTGCTATTTGCTATAAAAAGTCACAAGCAAGTCAATTAAATGACAGATTGCTAGGATTTTAAAAGGGCATATGCTTTAGTTTTTAATGGCTTTTGCAATCTCAGGCATCAAAAATGATTTTTAAATATCATGAACTATAAAAAAGTAATTGATTTTACTCAATTCCAAGTGTCAGATTACGGGCAGTGGTAAGCTATTCATGAAAGTGGCCATTCTGTAGCAAATATGCATAGTTGACGACATTTGCACCAAAGACTGCTCAACTAGTGGCCTCTATGTTAATCAACAGAAAACTATTTGAAGTGTGATAAAGATCTTCTAGAAGTACCTTTGCAATTTAAAATTTTAATAACTTAGGTTATGTGTATATTAGAGGGAAAAAAGTCTATAAAAGACACCTAAATGCAATCATTGTAAAGTTCAGGACCATCATATTATGTACCTTACACAATATATTTTCATTTCCGGTCTGGAGACCAACAGCAAAATGGCTGACACAAAGCCTGACTACCAGAATATCAGCTCTCAGCAGAGGAAAAAAAGGAACTACAAAACTAAAGATAGCCTTTTATTAGATTTCTTTAAGTAAAAATTTAAAACTACAATAAACATTTTATTTTATTTTATTTTGCTGAGGAAGATTGGCTCTGAGCTAACGTCTGTTGCCAATCTTCCTCTTTTTGCTTGGGGAAGAGTGGTCCCAAGCTAACATCTGTGGCAGTCTTCCTCTATATTTTGTATAGTAGATGCTGCCACGGCATGGCTTGATAAGTGGCGTAGGTCCATGCCTGGGATCTGAACATGTGAACCCAGGCTGCTGAAGCAGAGTGTGCCAAACATAACCACTACACCACTGGGCCAGCCCCACAGACTTATTTTTTAAAATAAGATTTACCAGAGGTAGAGTCAAATAAAGCATGAGTGGTAGGGATAAAGGTGAAAATAAAGAGAATTGACAGGATATCACTGTGCTGTTTTGGGTTGTCACTGTTGACACAGGTTGTTGTGTAAATACAAACAAATCTCTAACTGTACACCTGCCTTATTTCTCTCCCTCTCAGCTTATACCGTAAGATCTTGAAGGGCAAGAACTGTTATACATATTATTTTTATTTCAAACCTCCAAGACTGTGTTACTATATCCTCAGGGCTATTTGCTGAATTGAGTCGTGGGTAGAGCAAGCCTTCTGCAGTTTTATAAGAAAAGACCTCTGGCGCAAATTGATACCAGTCTCATCCACACACTGAAATTGAGCTACATCAGTTATATTTCATTTGTAGGTGAAGGACAATGATAAAACAGAGGATGCTTAAAATTTTTGTGGGTTATGTGAAGGAAATGTGATTCTTTTGTTCATCCACATACTAATCTTCACTTACTTGCTTTTTCATTCATTCATTCATCCTTCTGTATTTACTGAATCTTTGTCTAGTGTGGCAGGTCCTGTGTTTCTTGGAACAAGATCTTCAACATGAAAGAGCTGCTTGTCGGTGGCTAATAAATCACTCATTTTACCTAAATAAAAACAAACAAGTTACAAACAAATGGAAAGACATCCCATGTTTATGAGTTGGGAGACTTAATATTGTTAAGATGTCCGTAATACCCAAAGTCATCTGTAGAGTCAGTGCAAACTCTATCAAAATCCCAATGACCTTTTTTTCAAAAATAGAAAAATAATCCATCCTACAATTTATGTGGAATTTTAAGGGTCTCCAAATTGCCAAAACAATCTTGAAAAAGAAGAATAACATTGAAAGTCTCACATTTCCTGATTTCAAAACTTACTACAAAGCTACAGTAGTCAAAATAGTGTGGTACTGGCATAAAGATAGACATATAGATCAATGGAATAGAATAGAAAGTCCAGAAATAGAGCCTCGCATAGATGGTCAAATGATCTTTCATTAGGGTGCCAAGGCCAGTCAATGGGGAAAGGACAGTCTTTCCAACAAATTATGGTGAGAAACTGGATATCCACATGAGAAAGAATGAAGTTGGGCCCTTAACTTATACCATATATGAAAACTAACTAAAAAATGGGGGCCTGCCCAGTGGTGTAGTGGTTAAGTTCCCACACTCTGCTTTGGTGGCCTGGGATTCATGGATTCAGGTCCCTGGCGCAGATCTACCCACCACTCATCAAACCATGCTGTGACAATGTCCCACATACAAAATAGAGGAAGATTGACAACAGATGTTAGCTCAGGGTCAATCTTCCTCACCATAAAAAAAAAGGTAACTCAAAATGGATTAGATACCTAAACATAAGAGCTAAAGCTATAAAACTGTTAGAAGAAAATATAAGGGAAAAGCCTCATCATATTGGATTTGACAGATTTCTTGGATCTGACACTAAAAGCACAGGCAGTCAAAAAAAATAGTAAATTGGACTTCATCAAAATTAAATTTTATACATATGAGAACAATATTAATAGAGTGAAAAGGCAACTCACAGAATGGGAGAAAATATTTGCACATATCTGGTAAGGGATTAATATTCAGAACATATAAAGAGCTACAACAAAATAACAACCTAATAGAAAAATGGGTAAAAGACTGAGTAGACATTTCTCCAGAGAAGACATACAGATGACCAATAGGCAAGTAGAAAGATGCTCAACATCACTAATCATTAAGGAAATGCAAATCAAAACCACAATGAGATACCATTCACACTGATTAGGATGGCTGTTAGCAAAACAAAACGAGACAAACCATAACAAGAGTTGGTGAGGATGTGGGAAAATTGAAACTCTTGCGCATTGCTGGTGAAGATGCAAAATGGTGCTGCTGCTGTGGAAAACAGTATGATGGCTCCTAAAACAATTAAACATAGAATTATCATAAGATCCAGCAATTCTACTTCTAGATATATAATCTAAAATAATTGAAAGCAGGGGCCGGCCCCGTGGCACAGCGGTTAAGTGCACATATTCCACCTCGGCGGCCTGGGGTTCACTGGTTCAAATCCCGGGTGCAGACAGGGCACCGCTTGGCAAACAATGCTGTGGTAGCCATCCCACATATAAAGGAGAGGAAGATGGGCATGGATGTTAGCTCAGGGCCAGTCTTCCTTGGCAAAAAGAGATGGATTGGCAGCAGATGTTAGCTCAGGGTTAATCTTCCTCAAAAAAAACAAATTGAAAGCAGAGACTTGAACAGATGTCTGTACATCAATGTTCACAGTAGCATTATTCACAATAGACAAAATGTGGAAACAATTCAAATGTCCATTGATCAAGGAATGGATAAACAAACTGTGGTATATACAGACAGTGGAATATTGTCCAACCTTGAAAGGGCTGAAATTCTCACACATGCTACAACGTGGATGAACATTAAAGACTGTAGCCTAAGGGAAAGAAGCCGGACACTGAAGTACCAATATCGTGTGACTCCACATCCAAGAGGTCCTAAAGTAGTCAAATTCTTAGAGACAGAAAGTAGAATGGGGGTTGCCTGGGGCTACGGGGAGGGGAGAATGGAGGTTACTGTTTAATCGGTACAGAGTTTCACTTTGGGGAGATGGAAAAAGTTCTGGAGATTGACTGTGGCGATGCTTGCACAACAATGTGAGTGTACTCAGTGCCATTGAACTGTATACTTAAAATGGCTAAAATGGTAGCTTTTCTGTTATGTATGTTTTACCAAAACAAACAAGCAAGTAAGCAAACCATCAGTAGCCTTGTGGATGAAATGAAGATTTAAAATCACTTAGAGTTCCTCCACGAAAGCAAGAGAAAGGGCAAGTCATTGTTCAGATCCTACTGTTTCTCGAGAAGAAGGAGTAGGTATCACTGGGGGACAATGTTTCACAGGTTTGGCGTGAAACACCAGGATTGTCGATTTAAATACAAAAGCCTCCATTCTGTTGTGTGTGCAGTAGTGCTGCTGAAGAAAAGACAAATCAAGAAGAGCTTATTTTTTTCTCTTCTATCTTAGCTGCATGCACTTTTAGGAGCTGTTACATATTCCCATGAGAAATGGCTTTTGAATTTATGGGTTACCATCAATATTCCTCTTGCATGTTATTTTAAGAAAATCAAAGCTGTTGCTATCTGAGAAGTAAAAAATGACAGATGCCACCGGGAGAGATTTTCCTTGGGATTTCTCAAGGAAAGGAAACTGGTTCTTTCTGAAGGATGAGTTGAGCGTGCAACCTAGAACACAGCTGGAAATCTTTGGGTACCACTAATCTCCACTACTAATACCTTGATAGGTTCCTGCTGCCCTAATTAGCGAAACTGTCAACTCAGAGGTGACTTAATTAAACAGAATAGAAGGCTTGTGTGGTATACGTTATGAAGTTAGATCCTAATAAGCATTTGCAAGGGTGCCCACTTCTGCAAAAGTATAAAGACAAGTTTAGAGAGGTCAGTCTATTAGCACAAATAACCATTCTTAGCAAGCCAGCGCTGAACTGTTAGGCAAAAGGAGCTTAGCCTGAAATGAGGGCAGGGACAGATGTTTCCTAAGGAGAGGCCTTGGGGCTCGGTTCAGCAGGACCAGAACCCCATCGCTCTGTAGTCCGATCCGAGTCTGTTTTCCCCCCACTTGTAATATCACTGTTGCTATTTTTGGGAGAATAAACCATAGGAGAGGAAAATTGTTTTTTTCCCTTTGATTTTTATTTTAGTCAATGTATAGTTTTATCTGGGTGGGTGTTTGTTTTGCTTTTTATTTTCTCACTCATATTCTTAGCTATTTTTATTTAAATTATGTAATGAGTAGGAAAGAAAAAGAAAGCCTTTTGCAATATATATATGTTTTTTATATATATTATGTTATGCATTGCGGGGTGATAGAGGAGACACTGGAATTACATAGACCCTTTATTAAAATTTTTTTTTGGAAGAAGAGTTTTGTTTTTAAAAGCAATAATAAGCCCTGAAAACTCTCAAATCCTGAGGAAAAAATACTACAATTTTAAGAGTACTCTTTATTTTCTGGAAAGAAATTCATAACATAAACCATTATCTATCATTTAGAATAATGCTTCACAGTTTTTATAAATGTATCAGAATCCCCTAGCAAGCTTGAAAAATACTGGTATCCAGGCCCCACCCTAAATGTGAATCAGCATCTATGGGTTCCTGACATTCATAGTTTTGATACTTTCCCAGTGATTCTGATGCACACCAAAGCCCGGGATAGATTCAGGGCGTCTTTGACACGCCGAAAGACAGGCAGTTAACGTCACTGTACAATTTTTCCATTCTAAAGCTGAATGGAGTTTTTCTGGTCCCCACTTTTTCCATTGACATCAGCTAGTGTTATGTTATCTGCACTGACTAAAGTTCATGATATATAAAAATGCCAACTAGTGAGCTGCTGGAACTACCTAAAGAAATTATATAGGCATCTTATAGTTTTAATTAGAACGTGTGGACCACTCTGTAACTAAGCAATGAGAACAAAGAAGCAGATACAGCTATTTACTTGCAGTGGCAGTGGAGCAACCCACTACATGGTATGGTAAGAGAAGGACCGTCCACATGCAACTTCCAGATGCAGTTCCTAAGGGCTTCGATGAGTTTAAGTAAAGAGAGAACCTCCCAGTTGTGAATATTTTCTTGAACCAGGTTGAAAATGTCTGGCAACATCTAAACTGCTGAGTTTCCTGAGATTAATTAGGACTTTTGAAGTAATTGAGAAGCATAGGATCTAAACTTTATCTCGTTATCCATCTTGAAGACGCAGCTTTTTCTTCAGACTAATAGCATTTCCCCCTAACCGCGTATGAAATTAGATCTGCTTCTAATTTCATTCTCCCTATTCCCTTAAGTCTTGCTCTTTAAGTAGCTACGAAGACACACGGTTATTTTTGGAACAACAGGCTTCTCCACAATGACAGATTCATCTTAGGGAGATGAGTAACACGTTTGCAGACAAAACTCAACCCCTAGAAAAAAGTAAGGCAAGTGTATTTCCCATTTTCCAACCCATGTCTATGGACAAGTCTTTAGTGTAAACAAAGAAAACATAGAAAGTTTTTTTTAGAAACAGAATTATTTTATTTTTCCAAATGTTAAAAATCACAAGATCAAAGCAACTGTGTTCTTTTACTTTTGCTTTTCTAGTTATAAAATACTTGCAACATGCCAAATTTGAGCTCTTGTCCAGAGGAGATTTTTGCACAATGCGTGGGCTAAATTCAGCCATCACGGTGCTTCTGAGACAGCCGTGTTAATTCTAGAGGGGTGACAACGGCAGCTGGAGCCTCTAGAAACCACCTTCAGTGTTAGCGTCTCCTTTCTTACTTCAGCATTTTGGTTGTGTCTTTAGTGACTCCAGGTCTGACAGTGGCAGTTAGCGCGCATCGCTGACGCCACCCAGCAGAGCAGGTTAGGACTACGAATCTCAGGGCATGAGCTGCTTACAGACATCCTTCATTTAGGTATTTTCTCTGTTGTAATGACAGACGAGCAAGCATCCCAGGGTCCCTATGCACTGGGGAAGTCACTTGTGTGTTGTCACTCTGGATTAACATTCACTTCCTACTAGGTTTTTTTTTTTTTTCAGATTTTAATAAATTTTTCAGTCCTTTACTAGAGTAATTCATTTGTTTGATGAAGTCAAATGGAAGGTGTGATCCTTAGACTCCATACTTTCCATCTAGTAAAGAGCAAGGAAACAGGAAGCAGGAATTCCGGAGTAGTTTCTAATATGACTGGCTTCTTGGATAAAATCAATGCTGTATTAACGTGTGATCGAATTGCTTTGCTACTAAGAGACTGAGCAGTTAAGTATAGATTACCACAAATTTCTCTTTTTAACAGTGTATTATTTTACTCTATGTGCATGAAAAATAACCTTTTTATTGGGCTATTTTATATTATGTTAAGCTATTTCCTTAAAACTTTTTTCTTATACTTTCTGTCCTTGTTTTGCATCTCAATTGAAAATACTCTAGCTTTGTGAGTGTATTTGTGTGTGTGTGTTTGACTCCGATTTCCAGAACTAGTGGAGAGATGTTCCCTCCAATTTAGAGATACCATCAGGGTCAATAGTATCTAACATTAAAAAGCAAGTTCAAATATACACAGTTCATAAAAACTTAGCTCAATCAAATGGTTAAGTAAAAAGTTTTCTAAATGTATTAAACGGGATATATACTTGACAACACAGTAAACTCTCAATATGTTTTCAACACTATTATTCTATATAATGAGTTACTTAGTTTCTGACTCCAAATGTAACTCAGCTTCAATTGTCTTCCAAACTTGAAAACTTCCTTGTCATCCATAGTGTTTGGCTGAATCTTCTGTCTCCAGATATTATCAGCAAATAGGCACAGGCCTATCTTTAAGAAAAAGAAAAAAAAATGCTACATATGTGGAATTTAATGCCAAAAACATAGGAGGGACGTAATCTCAAATGGCAGTTCTTAAGGTGAATAAATTCAGTGCTATGAAAAACGGACTCTGTTGCCCTGCCTCTTCCCACTCTCCTGGGGGCGGTACTGCTGCTCCATCCTCAGCTCCGAGGTCTGCCACGGTTTGGGAAAGAACGTAGTATTTTGGACACCATACTGTCCTGAGGTTGAATCTTTATTTTTCCATTTAGTAGCTAAATGGCCACGTGCAAACCAACTTAAGGATTTGACTTTCTGCTTCTTTGCTTCTAGAAAAGGAAGTAAATCTAGCTCTCAGTTACGTTGTGCTGAATAAAATAGATAGAATTCTTAAAATATCTAGAACTTTCATATTAACAAATAAAGCCTATAAACCTTTACAAAATTACTTGTATTTCCAAAGGAAATAAAACAGAATGTGGAAACTGCAAATAACTTGAATTCCATCCACAGAGGGACATTTGTGTAAATTATGGTACATTCAAATTATGCAAAACTATGCAGTTATTAAAAAGAATGAACTAGCTCTATATGACACAGAGAGATGTCAGTGATTTACTTTTCATTGGAAAAAGCAAGCTGCAGAGTAACGCGTATAATATAATCCCATCACGTAAAAAGTGTTAAGACAAACCGCGCGCGTGCATTTGTGTTTGGCGTACTTGTATGAGCACAGAGGAAATGAGAGAAAGATACTTTCAGCCACTTCACCTGCTTCATGTATTCACTCGAGTGCCACCTTCTCACACGCTCTTTCCCAATGGCACTGCTGAAAACTGCTGCCCGCCCCAGACCCTTCTTCTGGTCCTTCTATCCCCTTTCTGGTTCTATTTTCCTCCATAGCTCTTATCATCTTTGATATCATTGTCATTTATTTTACTTATTTAGTTTTTAATTATTTATCTTCCTCTGCTAGAATGTAAGCTCCAGGAAAGCCATTGCTTTTGTCTCTTTTGTCCAGTGGTGTGTCTGTAACAGGGCCTGACAAAGAGTGAACGGTCAACAAATATTTGTTAAATCAACAAACAACAAAACTGTTCTGGTTGCTGATTTTAGGAGAGGGCGGTGGGGGGCAGGTAGGAATACAATTGCCTTTATTTTATACACCTGATTGTCTTTGCCTTCTGCGAGATGTACAAATTGCTTTTGAAATCTGAAAGAACAATATAATAATTTCTTAAAGAGCAAAGCATAGGTACACTTGCTGGCATTACCTGACGCTCCATGGATGATCGCTCCTTTCCTCCCTCACAACGTCCTCCTTGTGCCCCGCTCCGCACGCACATGTTTTTCTCTCTGCACTCAGGAAAGGATTTGCTAGGTCTTTTAAAACTTGGTGTGAGTTACCTACTAACTTTCTTAAGGTTGTTTGCATTTAATTGTAGTGCAAATTTGTTTTGTTTTCCTCTGGCAAACAAAGATGACAGAAAGCATTGACAAAATGGATCTCTGGGGCGGGCTGGGGGTAAATTTTGTTTCCAGGATGACAAGTGATGAAAGATGAATAGAGGGAGGCAAAGAGGAGGTGGAGGAGGAGGCAACTGTGGGCTGGGGAGAGCAATGCCAGGGGCTGGACCTGAGGCTGGCTTGTTAATAGGGGCAAGGAGATTGACGTGGAGAAATGGGATGATAATGGGCTCCTGGTGCCTGTTCTTAAGACCTCCTGGTTAACACAGAATCATGGTCTGGAAAGGTTTGTGATGTCTCCTCATTAACTACCCTCAAGTTCAAATGAGGGAATTCAGACGTGGAAATTTCCTCCTCCTGGCCCCTGCACAGACCTGTCAGATGCTGGCTACACTTGTGGGAAGGGTGGCTCACTATCCCTTCTTTCCTGGGCAACAGGTGGGCGGTTTTCAGACCTGGGGGTAATGCCCGGTTCTAAGCCCCACAGCTGCTGAGGAAGTAGCCACTTCTACAGGGTAGTTAGTACTTTAATGATGCTGAGCCTCCCAGTGAAATGTTAGTGGCACGTGAAATACTCTTTTCTGATGAAAGAGCTGAAACATGATTGCAGAGTCAGAGGGTGCTGTTAGGTCTGAACGGAGAGATCCTGGAGCACATGCCTCTGGAGGTCACATCTGTGGCAAGGTTTGTGGACTTCACCCTGAGTCAAGTGATCAGCGGGGAGTAATCTCAGCATGGCATTAAAGGGACTTTCGCAAGTCTCCACTTCCTTCTCCACTTGAAAAGATTGTCTTGTGACCGAGTCTCACCGGCAACTGGTACTTCTTACCAACACAAACTTTAGGAGCTTTTCTGTTTTAGTTAAACCTATTTGTGCTTCCTTGTGGGCCATATGAGTGCCAGGCTGGAAAGACAGATAGCTTAAAAATTACGTTCTCTAAACCTTCACCGTCAGGCTGGAAAGGAAACGAATGTCAGGATCTGCTGTATAGGATAATAAATTTGATTAGCAGAAAGCGCTCCTGGGTGGAGAACATCGGGACAGGAAGCAGCAATACACTGTGGCTGGTGAGGCAGAGCTGAATGTCAGCGCTTAATTGCAAAGTGGGAGGCCATTATCCACTGGCAGCAATTCCCCTGGTGACTTTGTTTGTTTTATAACAAATTATTAAAGCAGTGGGAGAGCAGCGCTGGGTTCAAAGCGCTGCCTCTGACAGGGCCTCTCTCCTGCTCCCTGGGGCGTGGCAGCTTCATGACTAGGGATGAGATGGAGAATGGGGAAGGGGCCCGTGCCCGTGTGGGCACCCCTAGGCTTCTGATCACACACGTCCGGATGTGTGGGATAGGCCTTATTCCTTTGCCACTAGCTAGCTGTGAGATCCAGAGCAAATTAACCTATTGGGAAGCCACGAGAAAGAGCTTTGCAGACCTCCTACCTCAGGGAGAATCGTTACCTGAGGGACCTAGCCACTGAAATCCATCACACGGCTACCAAGGCAGACCCATTCTGGGATGCAAGTGATCTTGGCTGAAGGAACTCCCTGTGGACCATCCTTAGCTCAGGGACTCACTGACAACCCTAGGAAACCTTCTTTAGACTCCATGGTCCTCTGGGATGCTTTCTCCCTCTCTCCTTCACCCAGGGGCAGCCTTGACTCCCAATCTGAGGGCTCTCTCAACCTTGCAGCCCTTTCCTATTTCCTCTCACACAGGCATCTTCCCTAGTAAGATCCTTGCAGTTTTAATCCCAACCAGGCATCTGCTTCTTGGAGGCTCCAGACTAACACAGCCTCATTTTCCTCATTTGTAAAATAGGAAATATTCCTTCTTGCCTTCCTTGCAGAGGTGTTATAGAGATTAAATGAAACAACATATGAGGATTGCTAAAAGCAATGCCTGGCGTTTGCAGGTCATCATATAAATAGTAGCTGTTCTGTTGAGGCCAGAAGCTGAGGGGAACCTGTGTTCCCAGCAAATGTAAGAAGGCACGTTCCAGGGGCTGGCCCCGTGGCATAGCGGTTAAGTTCGCACATTCCGCTTCTCTGCGGCCGGGGGTTCGCCGGTTCGGATCCTGGGTGCGGACACGGTACCTCTTAGCAAGCTATGCTGTGGTAGGCATCCCACATATAAAGTAGAGGAAGATGGGCACAGATGTTAGCTCAGGGCCAGTCTTCCTCAGCAAAAAGAGGAGGATTGGCAGCAGTTAGCTCAGGGCTAATCTTTCTCAAAAAAAAAGGCACGTTCCCCGACCTGCCTCGTGGGCTCTGACATATCAAGAGGTTAAATACATGTCTGATGCATTTCTAGTCTTTTGGGAAGTTTGGGTTTTCTTTCAGGATGATATAGAAATATCCAATAAAGATCAATATTTAATTTTGTCAAAACCTAAAATCTCTTCTCTGTGAAGTATAGAAGAGGAGATTCATTTTCTGGCCCTTTGAACCTTTGAATTCCAGTGAACACATCACCTCTCAATGACTCCTGAGTTTAGGTCATCCTTCGCTGTCTTGCCCATTAAAGGAATCAGTGAGCAGGTGGAGGAAACTGGAGCTGAAGGGGCTCCCGTGTGCGCACCGAACCGAGTGATGCTAACACGCCTCAAAAAGCGGTCCTTCTCTGGCCTGGCACAGGGGGCAGGAAGCTTGTTTTTATAAGATTTATTCCAGATACCTGGGAGCCATGGCAGTCCATATTCAATTAAGAGAACGTAACCAAACTTGAAGGTGTGAGTTATCTCCGAAGCACAAATATACGTTGAATCTATATTAAGGGCTGCCCTCTTCCAGGCCAGCAGATTTTTCAAAAGGCCAACTGGCAAAAATGGAGTCGCAGGACGGTGACCAGCAGTGTTAATATGATCGTATCAGGAACATTTGCAAAGTCATCTCTTACCAGCAGTTCTGACGGAGGATGGATTTTTGAAAGGACAGTTAAACCTGCAGCCGCTTAGCTTTTCTTCACCTCAACCTTGTTACTTCACAGACATAATTTTTGCCTGAAACAAATTTTATTCTGTTCTTCTCACAGTCCAAGTGTTTTTCAAATCTCTTTGGCTTTTGACCTTGGATCAATCCCAGCCTGTGTTTGTGCATGTGTCTGCCCAGCAGGCTGCTGATCGAAATGCTTTCCGTGCCCAGGTGGGGAGCAGCCCTTTGCATAACTGTCCTAGAGCCAGATGGCTGGATGATTAGCACTCAGTCTCAATGTGTCAGAAACTTGAAACCCAGTTATACATCCATTAGCAAAAGATTCACAGATGCTGGTTCTTAATATTCATTGTTATTCTAATTTGGCAGTTCCAAATGGAACCTAACTAGAATTTTTTTCAAAGGCAAGAGCTTTGGGCCATCACTGTGGAAATGCAAGGACTCAGGAGTCCTGGAAGGGAATTTGGTTGTCTCTTCCCTTCATGAGTGAGCAAACCAAGGTGCTGGGAACGCAGCCAAACGGGGCTCTGAGCTGGCTGATCTCCTCAGGGCTCATTCTGGCTGTCCTAGAGTCTGGTCAGCTGGCTTACACAACTTCTGGGGTGACTTTCCATCTGGAGCTGTGCAATGAGGCTACCCTGCCACTACACGGAATCACAGAATGATAGAGCTGCCAGGGGGCTTTCAGCCTCACCTGTCCAGTTCTCAGAGGTGGAGACCAGGAGCCAAAGAAGGACATGACTTTCCCAGGATCTCGAAGCTGGGTTAAGAAGCGTCTCTGATGTGTTCCACAGACTCAGAAAGGTTAAGTGAAGACTAAACCCCACTGCTCCCAAGTATGGTGTTCATCATACACCAGGCTGCCTGCCTATTCTGTCATATCAGAGAAATTAATTTTGGAATCATTTTTGATCAATGTTTAATTTTACCAATACCTCATTTGGTGAGAATACATAATTCCATCAAACCAATACTTAATTTGATCAATAATTAATTCGTAATTGTAAATATGGCAGAAGATTAGTCTTATTTTCCTCTCCCTTTCTTGTGTTCTTTCTCGTAAAAAAGATTTGTAATTAGTTTATAAGACAGAACGATGTCAGATCCTCCTGTGAGGAAGACCTTTGTACTGTGACAGTGACTGTTCACAGGGGAGGACATGCCCTTTGGCAAATTTTCATAATAAACACCATGCCCCTGGCTCTGAAGCTTTTGGGTCGAACCCTGCTGGGCCCAAAGTGGCAGGGTTCACTGGATTAGTGGGACTTTACCATCCCTTTTGTGTCTCAGGGCACTTAATTGACTGTATCCTTGCAACCAGAGGACTCAGCAAGGCATTTCTGGTTGCTTCCAGAGGCTTTGAGAATATTTCATGACGTATGCATGTGCGGAAATATATACGTATTTAGCTAACATTCACCAAGCTCTTTATTACACACCGGGCAGTGAGCTAAACACTCTTCATCATTTACTTCACCCCCAAAAGGATGTATTATTATCCCCATCTTATGAGCGAAGAAACCGAGGCCATTGAGAGATTAAGTGATTTACCTAAAGCTGCATAGCCAGCTAGCGGCAGAACTGGTCTTCCACACCCTAAAGCCCTATTTTCAAGCTGAACGCTCCCCTGTTCTCTTTGTGAAGGAGGTAGGGCCTGTCTCACACCCAGCTCTGGAGTTCTCAGAGGAAGCCTTCCAACCCATAAATCCTTAAAAATCACTTAATCTTCCACCAAGAAAGCAAGTGCCACCTTCTCCTGCCTACTTGCCCAGGCTCTGGCAACTAGAAAAGGAAAAGAAAGGATAAGAATTCAGTTCTTACCCAGAACTCATGGCTTTAGGATTTCTTTCATCTATTTTCCAGGAGCAAAGGAGATCTTTAAGAAAGGAACTAATCTCACACGAAACATACCTCGGGGCTGAGGAGAAGCAGTTTTTCCCTCTCCTCTAGTCCAACCTCTCTTGAAAGATGATGGACCAGTCTTTACAGTGAAAAGCTGTCCCTTCTCACAGCTCGAGGCCTCCCGTGCAGAGAGGTGACCGTCTAAGCTGATATTCCCTTAGTTAAGATCTCCTGAGAGCAAAATTCTCACGGACTTAGTCTGCTTCCTTTTGTTTTGTTTTGTGGATCTAGGCATTGTTAGTGATCAGGAAAATAATTTACTAAGAAAAGAACCTTTGGCAGACAAGAAAGGGACACGTACTGGTAACCTTCAGTGGTTTCTGCTGTGTTATGAGTTAGCAAAATTTTGCTTGGTAGGATTAAGTTAAATTTTTTTGTGTGTTTACAAAATTGTAATAATGCTCCTTAGTGGTTATTTAAAAATAGCCCAACATGGTCTGCTGTGAAATGTAAGTACTGTTCAATAATAGAAATGTTTGTTAAATATCAATATTAAAGTAATAGAGTAAAGAAAGATAC